AGATCTCTACCACCTAGTCACTCAAGAAAATTCCAGCCCCACTCTTCATGTCCCTTTTGTCAACCAACCACCTCTCCATCTCTACCATTAACAAGAATAATCTTTGGCATTTTTGTTTATGACACTTGTCAAACAAAAGATTTAATGTTTTACATGAGCAATTTCTTTTTATTTCAAAGCATAATAATGACTCATGTGACATTTTTCACTTAGCTAAACAAAAGAAAATATCTTATTCTATTAGTGTTAGTAAAACTTTAAAATAAATTTATCTCGTTTACATGGATATTTTGGGTCCTTTTTGAAAATTTCTATTCATGGGCACAGGTATTTTCTCACTATTATTGATTATTTTAGTATATTTACTCGGGTTGTTTTATTAAAAATAAAAGCAGAAGTCAAAGTAAATATTCAAAACTTCATTGCCTTAGTTGAGACATAATTTGACTCCAAAGTAAAAATTCTTCATTTTGACAATGGTCCCGAATTTCCCTTAAAGAAATTTTATGTCTCAAAAGGTATTATTCACCAAACAAGTTATCCTTACACACCTCAACAAAATGGTAAAGTTGAATGTAAGCACCAACACATTCTTAATGTTGTTGGTACTCTTATGTTTCAATCTGAAATTTTGAATAATTTTTTGTCTTATGCCATAAAACATGTTGTTTTCCTTATAAATTAGGTTCCCTCACCAGTCATAAAAAATAAAACACCTTTTGAATTATTGTTTAATAAAAACCTAATTTTTCCATTATCAAGATTTTTGGGTCTCTTTGCTATGCTTCCACCCATTATCTGCCAAAAAATTTGAGTCATGCTAAACATGGGATTTTTTTGGGTTTTCAAAATGGCACAAAAGGGTATATTATTTTGAAGTTAGATTTCAGAGAAATTTTCTTGTCTAGAAATGTCATTTTTCATGAAATCATTCTCCCTTTCTAGAAGCCCAATGATCTCAATTCTAACACCACCTCACCCCTTCTTGTAGAATCATCCACACCTTTTCCCAAAGTTACCTACCCTTAGGTGGACCCAATTTTTCTAGATCCTTCTCCTTATTGGCCTAATGCCTCCACTTCACATCTTAATCATCCAACATAAAACAATTCAACCCCTCTCCCTCCATCTAATCCATCATCACCCACCACTCATCACAATTCACCCAGGACAATCCAATCTCTCCTCACACCATCTAGTCATCAACCACGTCATTTTACATGCATCCCTCAATCTTTCACTCGTCTTCGTAACTTTGTATGTAGCACATTCAACTTTTCATCAAACAACCACCCCCAATGTCCACATATCACATTCAAAAGATAATTTCTTATTCTCAACTACCTCCTTTTGACACAAATTTGTCATGTCCCTTTTTTTAGACTAAACCTTCTACCTACAAAGAGGTTATTCAAAACCCTTGTTGGATTGAGGCAATGCAAGCTAAAATTGATGCTCTAAATTTAAATCAAACTTGGGACATTGTTGAAACTCCTCCTAATGTTAAACCCATAGGATGCAAGTAGATTTACAAGACCAAGCGCAACTCTGATGGCAGCACTGAGCGCTACAAAGTGCGACTAGTTGCTAAAGATTTTTCCCAAATTGAGGGTATTAATTACATGTTTTCCCCTATGCAAAGATGACTACTATTCGCATTGTCTCGGCTTTAGCTTCGGTTGACAAATGACATCTATAGCAACTAGATATAAATAATGCCTTCTTGCACGGTGACCTAATATAAGATGTTTACATGACTATCCATCTTGGCATTCATGGCTACTCTAGTTCACATTGCTACAAACTTCATAAATCCTTATATGGGCTAAAGCAAGTTATTCGTCATTAGTATGAGAAATTTTCTCTTCTTCTTTTCTCTTGTGGGCATCAGCAAGCTCAAGTGGATCACAACCTTTTTATTAAAAGCAATGAAATTGATTTCACAAATTTGATAGTGTATGTTAATGACATAATCTTGGTTGATAATTGTTTGCATGAGATTGATACTATTAAACAGGTCCTAAATTCTCATTTCCTCATTAAAGACTTAAGGCCCTTGAAAATTTTTCTTGGGTCTAGAAGTTAACATATCAGATGCTAATTTCTATTTGTCAACAAAAATATTGCTTGGAATTGTTACCTGAGTCTGGTATGTTAGGTTGTAAGCCTTATACTACTTCCATGGATTGCTCACTTTGTCTTCATAAATATTCTAGTGCACCCTTGCCTGATCCACTCTCTTATCGACGTTTGATTGGTCAATTGATATATCTTATAAGCACGCACCCAAACATTACTTTTCCTGTCCAACAACTAATCCCATTCATGCATAACCTAACTCAAGTTCACTTTCAGGCTACCATGCGGGTTCTTAAATATCTTAAAGGTTGTCCTAGGAAAGGCCTTATGTTTAGACATGACTCTCCAGTCCATGTTTTGAGCTTCAGTGATGCAAATTGAGCTACTTGCATTGATTCTCGTCGATCAGTTACAGTGTATTGCATCTTCATTAACAACTCTTCATCTATTCAATGTTAATTTATCCAAGCTGAAGTTACTTGACATTCATACACCTTCAGCTTGTGTGTGTGTGTGTGTATGGAGGGGGGCGGGGAACATAAGAAGCCCAATGCTCTCTTGGCTCAATCCATTCCTCAACCTTTAAAATATTCTTAATTTTCTTTTTGTTACGTCGTTTGTTGTACATACCAATACATTCTAGATAGCATAAGTTGTATTATGTCATGCTTTTATCTTTTATGTTATCCTTGTTGTTGATGTTTATCTAGCATATTTTCATTTTTGTATATATATATATATATATATATATATATATATATATATATATACACACACACACACACATTGGAATAGATAGACACAATTGATTTTACTCTTTTTGTATTTGCTTTTACACTTTTGTTTTTTTCTCCTTTAAAGGATACTTTTGACTTACATCGAAAGAGCAACTCTTGGTCTAAGATAATAACCAGAAAAAAGTTAGGTTTTGACTTTAATATCATGTTCAGATTCCAACATAAAACCGATTGCCAATATGAAAAATAACTTAAGAGATATTTAAATTATACCGCATAACATGAGGTAACGATATGTGACTTCCAACATTCTTAGTCTAAAGCTAAAAAACATAAGATCATCTATCCTTGATGCATACTTGACACACCCAAATACACTTAAAAGAACACATAAAGTATAACATGCATTTAAAAATCTTTCTACATGTCAAATAATATTTTATTTAATTTTCTATACACAACATAAATTAACCATATAACTTAACCATACAATTATCAAGCTTGGGTTAAACTATACAAAATGGACGCAAGCTTTTACTTTAAGTAGGTAATTTTGTATAAAGAAGCACAATCAAATGAAGGAACAACTAAAATAAAGATGGGTTATAAAGTCACTTTCTATAAGTACCAAGTGTCATCGCCAAGAAAACTTTTCAATATGAAGTTCAACGTTACATGAAAATAAGCCTTTATATGAGAAAAACTAATAAAACATTAAATCATCTAATAGACTTACCATCTTGAGAGAACACCTTTAAAATCAATAGTAAACTTATATCCCTCTTTAGGGTTTCATATTTGTCAATCCTCTCTTCGAGAGTTTATCTAATAATATTTATTCAAACTATTCTATTCTAGTTTGAAGTGACAACTAAACTTTACTCAAGAAAGTTGAGAACAGGTTAATAATAACAATAACAATAACTTCTTTTTTAAAATTTTAGGAGAAGATAAAAGGACTTAATAAGAGTATATTTTGTTTGTAATAAAAATACTTGTTTGTAATCAAAATTGATTATAAACATTTTTACTTAAATGAGCTGATATAAAAACAAGGATTTATTATCTTTTTGTTACACATTTATACTTTTTAACTTGATAAACCTTTTATCACACAAGTCTTAAAAATTTGCTTAAATGTTTCTCATCAAGTGTTTAACAGTTGACTTTTTTTAAACTGCTTTAAAAAAGTTATTATTATTCAACTTGCTCTTCTAGAATTAACCTTTATTTTCTTAGTATGTAAATTGAGGTTTATAGTGTGTAAAGATAAATAAGTTAAGTAATAAATAAGTTATTAAAGACCTTTGAATTTTATTTTGCTCATATTTCTTAACATATAATATTATTATATCTAGGAAGTATTCATTTCAAAATATAATTGACAAAAAGATAAAAGATTATAGGAGATGGAGAGAAATTCTAAAGGAATTTTGTCTATAAACAAAACAAATGAGCTTAAAGAACATATCCAACGAGTTCCCAAAAATATTAATCTAAGTTGTAAATAAATAAAAAAATAATTTAACCCATTCAAATTCTTATTTTAGTTTAGATTTAAGTTGAATAATGTATAGTTTAAATTAGCTTAGTGTCATTTTTTACCTTATATTTTACCCACATTTTTTTTCTTCCTTTGTCATTGATATACGTTGTATATATAAAAGGAGCCAAAAGTCTGTTATGTACATAACTTTTGATAATTGAATATATGTCATAATCCTTTAATTCCGCGAAAGTTTCGTCTTGAAGTATTTCTCTAAGAACCTTGGGTTAAGGGTGCATGGAATTCTTAAGCTTTCCTTGAGTTCATTTTTCCCACACTGCATTCCATTTTCCTTCATTCTTGTAATCACCTAAAGCCACCACCATGTCCACCATACTACAATTTCTAATTCCTCCAAGAAAACACTATAAACTTCCTTGCTTCACGAGAGTCAAGCCATATACAACTTAGCTAATCAAGAAACTCAACAAGTTAGCAACTAAGAAACTACGAAGACACCACCATTTTCACTACTTTATTCTCAAACACCTTTTCGTTGACTCAAATTAGATTATCTTCCACCTTTCCAACATTATTGTCTTCAACTAACATTATTTAAGCATTGTTATGCAACAAGAACTAACAAGAACCTAGTGAAATCAAATATCATAGCTTCTACCACCTTTTACACATAAGAATCACTCAAGATTCACATCCAAGTCACCTTTTACTCTCTTTGACACCTAGGATTGTATCAATAGTGGTATCAAAGTTAGTGATTAGTATTAATGATTGACTCAAATTAGTATGACAGAGTTGGTGGTGGATTTTGATATGTATATAATTTCTTGAATCAAAAGTACTTTTTGTAGTATATATAAGTATCATGTCTAGTTGAAGAGATTAAAGATATGAGTGTCATTGTATACCCATGGATGAGTAAAAACTTCTTTTTGAAGATGATATATTGTGAGAAAAACTCAGTTAAAAGAGATCATTCGAGGAATGAATTAATCTTATATTATGTACAATTGGTAAGTTGCACAACATATAAATGGACACAAACCTATTACCTTACAGTGCTAGGTTGAATATGAAGTCAAGTTTTCTTATATGATTTATTCATTATTTATTAGTAAAATTCTCCTTAGTATTTCTTTTCCTCAAATTTTCTAACAATAATATCAAAGTTAATAAGTTTTCCAAAATGGATAACATATTAAAGAAAATAAAGTATTTATTCTTACATTTATTTTATTTTTCTCCCATCATTCTTTTTTGAAGAAGATTTCAAAAATGAAAAAAATATGCATTTCAAAAAATTCATTCTAGAATAAATAGAAGATGAAAAAAAAATTTGTGGTAAACAAAGTTAAAATATACAAAATGAAGTGAAAAAGAGTATATATTTAATTAAATTAAAATATAGAAAATCAAGGGAAAAGAGTGTATATTTAATTTGGGTGTCTAAAAGAAAATTTTAATTTAAGTCTGTAAATAAAGTTGAAGCCGTATAAGTTATTTTATTTTAGAAATTTTGTAAATTTTCGGGAGCCAACCCTTCGTTGACTATGATCAAATTGGGATAAAATAGGCTTTTGTAATTTGTTTCAAAATTATAAATCAAACTTACATTTTAGTATTTGCGTTTACTATTTTAGTCATCATAATCCATTTTAGTCTTTTTCAAACAATGGATAGATAAAATTGAACTTTTGCATAAATTATGATTTATTTTTCATTATTCACTATTCACAACATTTATTTTTTCATGTTTATTTCTTTTCTTTTTGGTTAAATTAAAATGTTAGTCCTCATATTTTTTTGAATTTTAGTCCTCATATTTTTAGAAAAAATAATTTCATTTTTGTCTAATCCAAAATTTTACGCATAAAATGAAAATTTTTATAATACTTAAAATGAAGATGCTAGGTTCTAAGTTAAAAAATAAATAAATACATAAATAAATATTATATATATATATATATATATATATATATATTAAATGAACTAAAATAAAATAAAAAATTAAAAGATTAAAATTCTAATTTAGGAATTAAAAAGAAAAAAAAATTGTAATTTGCTTTTTTATTATCTATGTGTAGTTGTAAAAAAATTACAAAAATATTGGGCAAGCATAATTTTTGAAATATTGATGAGTAAAGTGTAATTATTATTTTTTTTCGTGTACTCGGGAGTTTGAATTAATTAAGTGTAAAGTAAAAAAAAGTACTATTTATTTAAATTTAAAAATATTATGATATATATATATATATATATATATATATATATATATATATATTTTAAGTCTATGTATTAGTTGACTTAAAAAATATTAGAACATGTTTCACGAGTTTTTCCGTATGTATTTAATAAAAAAAATATAAATTTGTATAATCTTTCTATATAAGCTTTTCTAAATTTTTATTTTTAACATAAAAATAAAATAATTTTAATTTATAAAAAAATCATTTTTTTTTCTTTCAATCATTTCGCATTGAAACACATATGAAAGTCCCCCACAATTTTAAGATCCATCTTATTAACACCATCTACTATATTCCTAATGACAATCATTTTCCACAAGATCAGTACAATATGAACACTTTCATCGTTTTTTCAAGACATTTTTTTATAAAGAAATAAAACTTCGTAAAACACAGAAAGATTCTGCAAAATCTGAACAATGCATTATCTATTCATTCATCTGCATGCAAACTCTTCCATTCTATCGGTTTCAATAAAATATCAACACAATACTTCAAAGTCAAAATTATTCTCTTGATTATTAGGAGCAAAATTGACTTCTCCATCACCATACTCACCCTCAAACAAAAAAAAGTGATTAAACTTTTTATTTACCATAAGTATTATAGTGATCAAAACGAGACAAAACGACAATCCAAATTTTGTATACTAATTTTCCAAATCGATGGATGAACACCAGCAACATGCATACAAGAGAAACCGATGCCAAAACTCTTGTTCAGATCTTGTCCTTACTTCCATCTTAATCTTCTTGACAGGTTGTCCAGCAGCACTTCACTTTTGTTTATGTAGCAGACACCCATTCCCTAATGCTTTGATAAAAATAAACAAGAAATGGATTAGGTGAAACTAATTCATTATATATATTTTCAGAAACCAGCTCGTTACGTCTCAAACCCGTTCAAAAATTTATATGTATTTTTTTAAAATATATTCTTTAATTATATAAATAATTTTTAAGTTTTTATTTATTAATTAATATTTTTATTAGATAATTAATTTAATTAATTTTTATAATTTAAATTATAATATTATAATAATATAATAAAAAATATATAATATTTTTAATTATAATATATTTTTTATTTTAATATATAAATAATTTTTTTAAGTAGACCCATTCATCCTTGATCTGTCAAATTAATAGAGCTGACAGACTAAAATCACCACTTATCCTTCCAACTATTTCTTATTGGTGAACCATCGGTCGAGCCTAAACCATTTTTCTGTATATATTTTTCTTGATATGGATTATAATTTTATTTTAACGTGTGTATTAATCTCATTCATAATATTACGATTATTTTTAATTAATACATTTTTGCAGAAAAATGAAAATAGAAGATAGTTTCACATCATTTTAAGATAAATTAAGACTGATAAATAGTTTGGTATCCTTCAACGATCACTTGAAAAAATTGTCTCAATATAACTCATGCGATATATTTTTAAGTCTACGATATGATACTAGGTAGTAATAAAAATATATCTCTAAAATTAAAATTATACTAGTAAAATTAATTTTAAATTTAAATATAATAATTTGATATATATATATATATATAAATTACAATAAATATATATTTTTATTACATTCTATTTAAAATAATTATTATTTTAAGAAAGTTAACTTATAATTTTATAGATTGATCCAGTGAAGGTTAAATAATTAGAATTCAGGTGATTTCATTCTATTCATACTAAATTTTTTTTCATCTAAACTTACTTGTTTTCAAAAACTTTTAAATCATTTTATCGTATGTAAAAGTCTATTAAAATCATCTTTGATAAAAAAATTTAAAATAATTATTATAAATAAATAAATATATTATTTTAATATAGATTCTAAATATAAAATTATTTAAAATAAATGAAAATCATTTATATAAATAAGTTAATTTATTTTAAGTAATTTTATAAAATAATATTTTTTATTTATGAATTAATTTAATTAACTAATTTTATGTGCTCATAAAATATATATATATATATATATATATATATATATATATATATATATTTTTTTTTTTTTAAATTTGTGTTCGTGTCACGCATTTTACCGAGAATGTGCGGCAACCTCGTTCTTTAGTCTTCACTTTAGAGGAAATCTCTCACCGACAGAGACCACCCCACCATCACAAAGCTCCAAATCCAACCTCACCTCACCCCAACCATTGGGCAGTTATGGCTTTATTATCGACAATGAAAGCTAAATTATTGTGGATAAAAACACCTTAATTATCATCAACTTTTCACATTATCTCTTCGAATCAAATTAAATCACTTAATTATTGCCTTATTCTAAAATTTTCTGATATTATAAAAAAAATAACAGTATCCTTCCATTTATGTTATATCCTCCCAAATGTGAAAATTCATTTGGTGATGCTGGAAACATGATTATTTTCTGACCGAGTGAGTTATTTGAAAAAAAAAAAAAATCTTTAAAAATCACTTTACTTTGTATATATAATGTTAAAAACATCAACAATTTTATCCAAAGGAATCATCTATAATTGGTTGTACTTTTACACTATTCATAAAAATCCAACTAAACTCTATTGAAAATAGCTAACAATTTTCCTGTACATTACAGTTCATAATTGGATAATGCTGGAACATTTTTGTTAAATTTGGATAAAATAAAAGAGCATTCTTCCAATCACGTGCCAATGGCACGTGGTTTATTACATGAATAATTCTTGACTTAGTGCTAAAGTACATGCAGGTCCATAATAAAATGGTGAGCACCAAAGTTCCTGCACTTTGAGACTTTGATTTCAGCAGCATTGTGTTGACTTTGAGAGGTTGGATTTGTCGGGCTATGTAGCAGCTACAGCAAACCAAGTGGGCTATTTAATACTACAATGCTTTGAATAGCCTCTGATCAGAATTTCCATTTTAATGTCTTTGCACTCTTCCATGTGACATCTCTCATAAAAGTTCCTTTACTAAACTAATGTAGTGGTACTTTCTTGGTGGCTTCACTCAAAATTTTGAAATCTCTTTCTCTTCAGATCTCATCTCAGATCCATTTTACAAACTTGGGTCCTCTCCCCCATTGTCCTACCACCTGCTCCACATTACTGAAATTCTTTATTCCCATAATTCCCATCAAAAAATCTTTTCCTGCAATCATTATCCCATCACAAATAGCTTTTCTGCTTAAAAGACTTTCTTTCAAATTATTAGATTCTATACAACTGGAAAGTGAGAAAAAACTAAAAATACCAAGCCAAGAAAGACCATGAATTGTTCTGTTTTGTGTAGCTTTACTCAGTGAAACTCATGCCAATACCAGCTTTTGAGCAATTCAACTGTTTTATGTTAGTTCATTTGTTTCAACTCTGAGCTCTGCAGTAGAATATGCTGTGTATGACTAATTAGTCTCTATCTTAGCAGAAATATTTTAGCCTCATAATATGAAGAACTTGAGGTTTTGCTTCAGTTATTTGTTTCCTGCAATCATTCTTGCTCTGCTTACTCCTTCCTCAGTTGCACAGCTATCACCAAGTGAGAATAGAATTCTATTCCAAGTTCAGAAGCTTCTTGAATATCCTCAAGCTCTCCAAGGGTGGACAAGATGGACCAACTTGTGCTTCCTCCCTCCATCACGTTCCCTCAAGATAGTTTGTTCAAACGGTCATGTGACAGAACTAACAATCATTGGAAACAAGACCTCCCCATCGTCTCACATCCCCAAGGCAGGTTCCTGGACTTCCCTTCAAACACTTTCCGGAAAATTCTCTATCGATTCTTTCTTCACTGACCTGACAAAGCTTTCAAATTTGAAGGTGTTGTCCTTAGTGTCCTTGGGTTTGTGGGGTCCTTTACCATCCAAAATTAACAGGTTTTGGTCTTTGGAAGTGCTAAACATTAGCTCAAATTTCATTTATGGAGAAATTCCGTCATCTATATCCTCAATGATGAATCTGAGGAGTCTTGTTTTGGTTGGTAATCTCTTCAATGGAAGTGTCCCTGATCTCCAACGGTTAACTTCTCTTCAAGAGCTCAACTTGGGAGGTAACAAACTGGGTCCTGGATTCCCATCAGTTGGAAAGAATCTTGTCACTATTATCTTGAGAAGTAATTCATTGAGATCTCATATTCCTCCACAAATTCTGCACTTTGACAAACTTAAGGTATTTGATGTCTCTTCCAATGAATTTTTTGGAAACATTCCATCCTTTTTGATGTCTATGCCTTCCCTTCAGTACCTAAACTTGGCCTCAAACCATCTAAGTGGTAACCTCTCAGTGAATGTGGCATGTAGCTCCTCACTAACATTTGTGGATATCTCTCACAACCTTCTGGTTGGAAAATTGCCATCCTGCTTTGGTTCAATGTCTTCAAAGGCCACACTACTATATTCTGGAAATTGTTTGTCAACCAAATGGTTAAAAAATCAACAACATCCATCTTCTTTTTGCAAGAGAGAGGGGGCGTTGGCTGTTATGCCTCCAGCTAAAAACCTGAAGAATGAATCAAATTCGGGTGCGAAACTAGGCTCAGTGATTGGAATAATTGGAGGAGCTGTAGTAATTGCTGGGCTTCTGGTTCTTCTCATTTTGATCATCTTTAGAAAGTCCAGTGGAGAAAGATCACATCATAAAATGGACAAACCAGTTGCTAATAAATATTCTGCCAGTGCATCTCCTAGATCAAACGGTACAAGTATGTTCTTTTCTATCACTGTTACTTGTTTCTATATGATATCATACACATCTCAAATCTTCTTTAATCGTTTTCCTTCATTTAACCGATGCCTTAATCTGGTTTCTCCTGTGGGAGTAGGACATATTCCTCAGGCAATGAAGCAAGCTGCACTTGGACTGCCACCGTACCGCATTTTCACATCAGAGGAAATTGATGATGCAACAAACAACTTTGACCCATCAAATTTAATAGAAGAGGGATCACAGGGACAGGTAAGATATTTTTCTATAATGTTTATGGATTCATAACTTGTTTTTTTATAATGAGATGGAACCCACAAGTACAAGGGATAGTAACATTCACTATAACATTTATACAGCTATATAAAGGTTGGCTCAGAGATGGTTCAGTGGTCCTAGTTAGTTGTGTTAAAATAAAGCAGAAAGGTTTGCCCCACAGCATCATGCAGCAAATAGAGGTATTATCCAATTTGAGGCACAGGCATATGGTGAGTGTTCTAGGACACTGTATCATTGCTGAACAGGATCATCCCCAAACAACAAGCACTGTCTTCATTGTATTTGAGCACATCTCTAATGTGTCATTAAGGGATCAACTTGCAGGTAAACTTTCACATAGAAAGAAAAATACTAATGCAAAGATATGAATCCCCCAAAAATGTAACATAACTTGAGTCTTCACTCAAACAGATGGGAGAAAGAGGGAAATGCTGAAATGGCCACAAAGAATGGCAATGAACATAGGCATTGCAAGAGGAGTCCAGTTCTTACACACAGGAGTTGCTCCTGGTATATATGGCAACAATCTGAAGATTGAGAACATTTTGTTGGATGATAGTCTCAATGCAAAAGTCAGTAGATATAGAATCCCATTGCCATCCAAGGTTTGGACAGACAACATAATTTGATCATTCATTAATATTTGTATAATTGAATCGATCACCCTAACTTTCATTGATCAATTTCCAGAGTGTGCATAATGAACACACTGCCACCAATCATAGGTATTTCTCTTTTTACAACCTTTTTCTTCTCTTGTATTCCACAGTTATATCCCAACTATAATTTGTTGTTAAACCCGTATGCAGCACAAATAATGCAGAAAAGGAAGACATCTATCAGCTGGGTGTTATTCTTCTTGAAGTTATCACTGGCAAACAAATTGCTTCCTCGAGTGAAATAGAGGAGATGAAGGATGAGGTACCCATTCAAACTTTTCGTTCCGAGTCTCATTTTAGTCACTTTTTGGAATATTTAGTCTCAAATTATGTTGCTGTAGAATATTGAAAAATGTACTGATTACTTTTTTTCAAAAAATACCCTCAAGAAATAAATCTACTAATAGATGCATAGGTGTTAATAAGGTAACTTTGTCATGGAAGTTGATGTAATCGATTGTTTCTTAGCTGTGAGCATTGTATTAAACGACAAATAATGATCCCAACCTACGAAGTTTGTTCCAAACCCCACTGAATGGCAAAAATTTATGGTAACCAAATCAAGTACTATTATTTTTCTTATCTTTATTTCATGCTCAGCTGGAGAATGGTTCATCAGAAGCAACATCGGTACTTAAGAGCGAAATTGATCCTTCACTGCGGGGAACTTATGCATATGAATCAATGAAGACTGCAGTTCAGATTACCATCAACTGTCTCTCCAAAGTTTCCAGCCAGCGCCCTTCAATAGAGGATGTTCTTTGGAATTTACAATACTCAATGCAAGTTCAAGAGTCATGGACCAGCAGTGGAAACCTCAGCACAAAATTGTAAACCACTTGTCAATAAAAATGTTTGCTTACATTTCATAAGTTCATTATCTTAATGAATAAATGGTAATGTAAATATGCGATTTCTTCTGAGTCCCAAAAACACAGTTTGGCCTGCATTTAATAAAGTTCTTACAAATTTGAGTTAGGTTCCTATTAAAATATCAACTCCTTGCTCCTTATGATTTCGATAGCATTAACATCATGAGTAGAACTGTAGTTCATTTCACCATTTTTAGTCTTTAATATCAAACTCACAAACAGAACTTGAGATATTTTAGAAACAATGTATATCCTCCCATCATTTAGTACGGATACATCATACATACTCAAAACTCAGACTTAGAATCACTTAAAAGTCACCTGTTACGGATATATACTGACGACTGAAAATGAAAATCGCTAACAAAATATAAACAAATTGTGTATCATTAATTCATTTAATAAGTGGTTATTTAATTGCTTTCTACACTTAATAGCTTAACTTGTCAATTTTCAACTTCCATCGAACTACTCATATTTCCACCAACTTGTTGTTTTTTTGTGAGACAGTTATTGATCAAAAAGGAATCTTGACAGTATTGATCCATCTAAATAATGCTTCGTATCTTGCTCATATTACAAATTTGTACGTTAAGCTAATCTTTGCCTTCTAAATTAGATTCATTATTAAATATTTTTTAACAAATAAAATATACTTACAGAAATTCATGATTGGTTTAACAACACTACCAGACATTACACACTCAGAATTCAGCTGCCCGAGTCAAATTTTCTGCTTTTTGCCAACAGTCAAGGAAATTAAAGAGTAGAATTCAGTTTCCCACCCAAAAACTGAATCTAGTAATCCAGTCACATTGTGCAAATACTTTGGTAAGGATTTATCTTTGGAATTTCTTTCAAAATGGCTTTTTCTGGAAATAAAAACTTGACTATTTAATCGAGTTGGCATCATAATTTTGACGGCATGTGCGGATGCTCCCTTGAGTCCCTTCGGACTTTTCCAAGGGTAAGAAAATCGCCGGTTGTCACCGAAAACATAAATGAAGCACAGGATGGAGAAAATAAGTTGGAATATTAACTCATAAAGTTTGAGTAATAAACACATCGTCAAGGGAAAATAATAATGGTCCTTTTTCAAGTCTTTGCGGTTATTCAATCATATCCTTTTGGACAACCTTTTGGTTGCCACAGAGGCCCTCTCTTTATCTTATGACCATTTTAATCAGCAGTCCAACTCTGCTCGACAATCTCCCGTACTCTTCGGTTGTATTCACGTTTGTTCTCACTGAACATTCGAGCAGCTTCAGAATTTGCAGGAGAATTTGGATTTGGATCACACAGCAATGACTGCAACAAGAAAGCCACTTCAGTGGAAAATATCAAGAATCTGGAGCAATACGCAAGTAATGACACAATGTATTCTGGGTTTGAGAGTAACACTCTTTCCAACTCACTCACCAACTAGCTGAAATATATGGATCCAACTAACTAGGGAATTCATATTTAGTGGGACCTACATGAATTTCACCCAGTAAAAGGAGGAAAATACAGGTAAAAGAACACACAATCGGGTTAACTCGGGAGGTAACTTGATCAAGGATTGCCCAAGTCTAAGAAAGTCCTTTGGTCATGTTCCTAGTCAATGTGAAACCCCGTTCATGCTAAGGATTGAATTCGTAGTGTGATATTTATAGGACAAGACATTTGTAGCTGACCCAAAACAAAGATTGAAGGATAAGCTCTCAACCCCATAAAATTAGCTTATGAGGTAAGAATGGTCTTCTATTATTTATCTAGTCTATTTTGACCATAACTCCATTCAATGTAAGACTTGGATTGTTTCCACAAAACACAATTGAGGTTTGCGCGTGGACAATATGGTAGGTAACCAATAACGGATTTAAAATACACTGTAAAACCATTTTAGAATTTGGGTTTGCATCTAACTCAACTCCACAATTTTTGTGAGGTAATTGTTGCCCTCACTTATATATATTTGGCCTAATCTCTAGTTATTCTGAGACTTAGATTTTCCCAAAACATCTCTTAGCATTTGGATTTATGTCTAAATCAACTCCACAAAATTACCTTTCAAGACGAGTGTTTTCCCCATTTAAATACCCTATTTGATCATATCTCTAATCAATTTACAACGACTTAGGTTTTTCTAAAACTACATTAGAAACAGATTTGGCATGACTTGATGCAGAACATAAAGATCCAAAAGCCCCAAGCACACACTTTGATAGGAAACAAGCAATAGGATAAACATCCTCTTGCCTAAACCAAGCCCAATCTTAGAAACATAGATAATCAGGACAAGGAAGAATTGAACAAATATCACGAGGAAATTTACTTTTGTAAAAGGAACCTCATACACAGGGGTAGCCAACAATTGGTTTTTTAATGAATTTCATTATTAGGGTTTTCTTCTAAAGAAATTTTCAAGCAAGTGGAAGGACCTTCTTTATTTGTTGCATCAAGAAACTGAATAAGCTATAGGTCAAATGCTTCTTAAGCCTACAAGAAAAGACCCATCTTACTAACAACAACTGAGCTAAATAAATATTTCCGCATAAATACATGTTTTAAACATAAAAACTAATAAAATCAAAACTAAAACTAAGCCCATGGTTGACTTAATACAAATTAAGATTTTTGAACCAACCACTTTCCATATTTGGCCCATTTAGTTTCATCTTCTCTTAACCTATTCTTGATGCATCTCTTCCATAAATGACTGATCTAAGTTTTCAAAGCCTTCTATCAACCTATTTGCTCTCGCTCTTGTGATAGGTCCCACTATCATGTTGAAATTTTCATCTTGCACTCAAATGGTGGAATGTCCAATTTTGCCTCTTGAGCATATATCATGACTTAACCCAAAAGCTAGCATAAGAGGGGATGATTATAAGGAGTGTTTTGGCAATATTGCCAGCAAATCCAGTCCCTTTAGTATTTTCCTTCAATGTCTACCTCTACCACTTTTCACATGGCTAGAAACTAGGCCTTCTGCTCTCCTCACTAGTGCCTCTATTGGCCTTCTTTGCAGATGTCAAACCACCTTAAAATTAACCATTTTTTAGTCATTTTTTCATACATGCCACAAATATATCCTCGTATGCAAATATTCTGTATCATGTCGTAGACAGCTATTTTAACATTCTCATTTTTGCTACCTCCACAGTTAATATCTACAACTCAGCATGTCCATTAGATCCCTGCCTATGAGAATCCTTTCTTCTTGTAGAAAGCCTTGAACTCCAAAACTTTCCTAGAAAAGCACTTCTGATCCTACCTTGTGGTGCATAAACATTAATGGTATTAATAGTTTCCCGTACATCCATTAAATTTAAAGATTAGATTCAGAGATTCTGTTGCCAAACATTTTTACACCCACCCCATTCTTTTTCCAATTCTTACACGTAGAAATACCCACTACTTTCTTTCCTCTATCCCCTTAGCTGTTCAAAATACCATTTGCTTTCTTTTTTTTTTCTTTCAAATCATGGTGCCTACTACCTCCAAATACTTCCTTGTCTATGTACTAATATTTCAAATTCCCTCATTTGTCAAGAGAAATGTGAGGATCCTTGCTCATTTAACACTACATCTGGGATGTAAAGTAGTGACTCTAGCTCATTTAACACTGTACTTGAGTAAAAGGTTGCATTTCCAGACAATGGGCAAGCATTAGCACCCATAATGTGTCACAATTGATCCATCTTTGGGGTTTCAACAAGTTTCCATGGGCTATGAAGGCAAAAGGCAACCCTTCTTCTCTACCCTAAACACTAATATTAATTGTATCTTGAATGAATCATGGACAGGGTACAATCAAATAATTTTTATCGTGCATGGTCTCAGTGCAATTCTGAAACATTAAGTGAATCGCAATTACCTGGATTGAGGTCAGAATTGCTGCTACATCATAGATAGGACTCCACTGATTTTGCAAAATGTCCAAGCATATACTTCCATCCGCATAAACTAAAATTGCCAAATTAAGGGGGGTTAGAACCAGATGGGAAGTTATCAGCATGCAAAGATAGAAAATACTTTTACACCAAATGAAATATTCACCACTTTATCACATTATTGTAATTGTTGAAATTTTCATAAATATGGTGTGTGAGATTAACATGTTAAACTGTCAACAGAATACAATTTAATGATCAGATTGCTCGGAAAAGAAGTCTATATTAAGTTATTACACAATGCACAATATAAAAATCATTAGAATGGGTGTTAATGAAAAATTAATACTTATGTAAGAATTTTCAAGATTTCTATTTTAATTATATCAATACCCAAAACCAGCTTGTGCAGGAAAGAGATAGAAATATGATTGGCATTGTAAGTTTCTAACACCCAAATAAAATGGCACGGTAGTTTTGTACTCACTGTTCGGATGAAACATTCTAGAAACAAAGCGCACAGTAGGTGGCTTATTAGGATAATCCTCTGTAAACTGAAGCGTCAACTTAAACGTACCTGAAAGACAAGATGATATTCATATAAACATCCAGAAATAAGAAGACTCTGTACCTAGGCACAATTAAATGACTATTAGACACGTCAATTTAAACCATTATCTTTATGCACCTAAAATCCAGCAAAAGCTAAACCTTGTGTGACATGCCAACAAATTGAACTCGTGTTTGTATGAGTAATATAAAAGAATAACTCTATACTTCAATAGTAGACACTACTTTCAATAGTTATTCGAATTATGCAGTTCAATACTTCAACTTTTATCTCTATCAAATATTAAAATTAAGAAAAAAAAAACTTATTTGATTAAATATACATAATAGAACTGGATGTGCAGTTCAATACTTCAACTTTCACTATCAACTATTTTTTAATGTATTTGTATATGGTTTGTTGATCATACATGACTGTATATTTTTTAATGAAAATATGTCCATCCTCCTAGAAACTCGGACACAATTATTATAACATATGGAAACATTCACATAAGATATCATGTCTTAGTTATATAACGTAGACGATAATCGTACCTCCATCCCAAGGGGTGTCATCTGGTCTGGAGAAAATAAACAGAATAGCACAATTAGATATTTATAATACACTAAATAATCCAAAACCACAAAGTAAAGGGAAACACCCCCAAGAAAACAAAAATATTCGGGATTTTTAATTTCCTACACACCCAAATATAACAGCATTCCAAAGCATAATATTGTTGTCTTGGGGAGCCCCACTTATGCCAGCAGGAGGATCTTGTTGCAATCTTTTAAAATCCCTCATCAGTCTCTTCCTCGCCGGAGTCGACATCTTCACCACCTATATATCAATCAAGTACAATTCAAACAATAGCAATCAGTCATTGACATGTTCATGTGCACAGGTAAAAATTAAGACAAAGAAAGGAAGGGTGAGTGAGTGAACAAGATCAGAAAAACAAGAAAATATTTTATACATATCCGATAATACATCAAAGGGTTAAGCGAATGCAAACAGAGAGAACCACGGAGCTAATTTTACATTCTCAGAGCTTAGTAATTATAAAGCTACTAATATTCTGAGTAATACCAAGAGTTGATTCTAACTAATAAGACAGTCCTCAGGACATGCATCAATGAGTTAACAAAAAACAAAAAATCATTTCACTCACAAACTGAAACATCGAAGTCGGGATATGATAATTTACGACTTTAAAAAGCCCAAAACAAAACAAATAAAAAAGGAAAATCAAGGGTTTCTAAACACCCAAAAAACTTCTCTACACAATCGCAAAACTGATATCCTTATCAGATATCCCAGATCGATTTCTTTTCTCCATTTCCACCACAACATAAACCAAAAAAAAGATTAACAAGCAAGAAGCTACCCCCACCAAAGAAGGGGTTCTTAGATAAAAAATTCTAAAGTAATTATCAATCTGGATATGAATTAATTTCAGAAAAAAAAAAACATGCACAAAAAAATAAACGAAAAAACGAAATTTTAAGCTAAATCGAAAGAAGGCGAGAAAGAAAGGGTTCTGACTTGTTAGTGAAGAACGTGGGAGGGGAGGTGCAGAGGCAGAGAGAGAAAAGATTGAAGCTTAAAATGGTTCGAGGAGAACCCAGACACAATGGGAAGAGAAAATTTTATAAGAAAAATGGTTCCATGGAGAGAGAATCTTTTGTGTTCAATTATTTTGATTTTATAGAATGGTCAGGTCAGCTGAGCGGTCCCAATCCCAAATGGCCTCCCTCTCTTTCTTTAATTGTGGTGATGTCTGCTTTTCTTGGCAACTTGCTAGAAACTCCCAACAACCCATGATACTTCACTGTGCATACATACACATACTCACTTACACTATTTTTAAAATATCACTAATTATGAGATGAAAATAACATTAATTATGTGAAAAATCAATTTATAAATGTTCGAATCAATAAAAACTTATTAAAACTAATTGATTTGATTTAATTTTCCATTTCAAGAACAATCTAAATTAAATTAATTAAAATTATAATATATATGGTTAAAATTAAAATATAATTATTATATGAATGAATAAATTAATATTTTATATTTTCAAGATATATTATTATTATTTAAATTGAATATTAAAAAATATAAAATAATTTGAAATTAAATATTAAATTACTTAGGTAAGATATTTCGATATTATATTTTTATTTAATAATTATTTTATTATAATAATTTAATAATTTATAATAAAAAACAAAAAATAAATTAAATTAAAGTGTAAAATATTTATTTTTATTTTATTTTTAAAAAATTAAAAAAAATCAAATTAAATTTAATTTGATAATTTTTAATACAAAAACAAACAAATCCCACCGCAAACCCATAATATACTCTCATGTATTAATAAACATTCAATAATTAATCATATTTATCTATCATAAGAAAATTATTATTATTATAAATTATTATCTTAAAAGTATTTTTACATAATTAATTAAGTATAAATAATTATTAAATAATTTTAAAAATGTCTATTATAAATTTAAGAATTTTATTTGAATAATTGTGTAAAATTATCTTATACTTTTAGTAAAATATTATTCCCCTCAATGAAACATATGATTTTGATGCTTTAAAGAATTTTTTAGGTAATTTACTCCTCCTAATTTTATTATGTTGGTAAACTTAGTATTTCTTAATGTTAAATTATATTTACCACCTTAATTACATGTTATGTTGACATTTTTATGTTCTTATCATCTAAATTTAAAATCTCATAAAATAAAATAAAATCAATAAAGTTATATTTGTTTTTTCCCAAATAAATATAAGGAATCATGCTTACCATTCCAGACATAACTCCTTTCTTATCCAAGCAACATGAATTTCCTGCGATGTACGAGACGTCACCATAGCTTAAAAGCCCACTCAAATTCATGTTTCTCCACAATAAGAGAGAAATGAGATGAGAATCAAGGATGAGAAGCTTTATGATATACATGATCTTCATAAGAGGTAAGTGTACAACATACTTGCATCTAAGTAAGGGGGAAATAATAAGAATTATATACTTCAGACTTAAAAAAAAAAAAAACTTAGAGAGAAAACATTTTTAAGAAAGGAACTTTGTATTCTATTGATTCTGCCTTAATTCATTACAAGTGTTTCTATTTATAGGCACACCATACAAGCAGAATTACAAATTTTGCTAAACTAAATTTAAATTTAGACCTGAAAATATCATACAAATTGGAATCTGAGGATAAGGTTATGACCCACGCTTATCATGGTCTAATATCTTACAAACAAGATAAGATAACATATCATTTCAAATAAAGTAAAGTTGATTTGTTCTTATCTTCTTTTACACGTTTGCAGTACATGCAATGCACACGTGCAAAGATAAGAGAATCTTACTTTAATAATTTGTCATGATGATAGTCATTAACTAAAGTCTTTACTTTGAATCTGATCTTGTAGAATTGGAACAATTCATCTGTTGAGCTTCACTTTGTGTCATACTTTCGTAGTGAATCCTCATTGTAGTTGGCACATAGAGCTCAATCATTGATTTGAAGAATCTTATCTTTTGGGAATCATCATCTTTTGGAATGATCCTATTTAGAGGATAAGAATTGAGTGGTCTTTGGGATGAGATGGAAAGATGGGATCCACCAATATAATGACAATTGTTGACTTCACAGAGATGTCTAGCTAACTAGGTTTTGTAGTTGTCATCTAAAGGATATATTTCAAAGCTTCCCTAGATATAAACTTCATTCTTTGAACATAGTTCTCCTGTAAGATACTGAAAATACGGACAGTGAATGATGAAGATTGAAGTGAGAGATTAATGAGAATTCTTAGTCATTTCTCTTCGTCGTTGAAAATCTAAGATTCTTTTTAATTCTTGTCTCCACCAAGACAGAGGTGAGAATCATTCCAAGAAAATCCAGAAATGAAACTTTTCTTTGTAAGGATATGTTAGGATAATAAAAGTCATATGAGTTTTTAATGCAATGGGAATAGAATATTAGATAATGTTGCACCATATTGCCTAGAGTTTTTGTTCACATAGATCTCATCCAAGTTCACATAATAATTCAAATATTCCTCCGAAAGAGATATCAGGATAAAAAAATGGTTGTCGGAGAGGTCTTAAACTTCATGGTTTCATGGAGAAAATATAAATAACGAGATTTTGCATACTGGAAGATTTCAACTAGAGAAGTTGGGTTCAACCCAAGAGGATAAACTTTTATGTTTTTGGCTCTATTAGACAAAGGTTTGACCATGAAGATGAAGGAAAAACTATGAGTGTCAAAGATTATTTGGACAATTTTCTTTGGTCTTGACAGAAAATCAGGGACTATGTTATAAGTTCCCTTGACATGTTTAATTGAAAAATCATACCGAGAAAACCAATCCTTTAGTCTAAGGATTTGTGGGGCTAGAGGCATTTTGTTCTTGAACTCTTGGATCCTTGGGAAAGATGAATTGTCCATCTGTATTTCAAAATGATTCCCTCGAAAATGGAAGTCAAACTTTTTTATGTCATTTTTAACAACTAAGGCTTCCTTGAAAGTTGTGCGATAGTGTTTCTCAGCATCTTTGAATTAACCACTAACATGACCATAGTAGTATGTTTTGTCATTTTCTTCTTCAATAAGGAAGGCTCCCCAAAAGTCATCACTTCCATTAGTCTAAAATATTCTCTTCTCATTTTTCGATATTTTTAATGATGGAGGAGTTTGGGCTATCTTTTTGAGTTCTCAAACGGCTTGAGTCTATTCTGGTCTCCAAGGAGGAGGATTCTTCTTTAATAGTTTAGACAAGAGACTTATATGTGAATGAAGTCTTTGATGTATATAAATAATAGATCTATCTAATATGGGTTCAAAAATCTTTGTTATTGCCTTTTGGAATAGTGATAAGGCTACCTTTAGCCCAAAAGGGCATTACTTTCCATTGATATTGGGCATTGGGTATGCAAAAAATAGTTTTTATCTATTAGAAGGGTTAATGCCTAGTTTCCAAAATCTGAATTTGAGATCAAACTTGGAGAAAATATAGGCTTCTTTAATCAAAGAGGGTAAGGAAGATGCTTTAGGAATAAGAAATTTATCATCCTTAAGAGAGTGATTACTAACCTCTTTTTCCCTCTAATCTTTTCTCCACGTAGAATGCTTGACAAGCCCAATTGGATTGGGTTGGTTCTATTAAGCCTTGTCTCAATAGTTCTTGGCATTCTTGTCAGGCCAACTGTAAATCTGATAGAGATATTCCAGGATGAGTGGCCTTTGTAAGGTTGACATCTTTATTGATCTTGAAGAGTAGTTGAACAAAGAATTCATGGTTCTTCCACAAAGGGTTTGGTTGAGAGAAATCTTTATGACTATTGGCACATAGTGTGGCTAAATTGACTTTTATTTCTTCTAAGTCTACAGGAGCTTCAGAAAGAGAAAAAAGTCTTGGTACTTTAGTGAAGGATATGAACTTTCTTTTAAATTTTATCCCAGTAGAATGGATCTGGAGTTTATGAGTCGAGGAATAAATATTTATTCTTACTAATATCTCTTTGTTTGGAAGCTTACTTCAAGATATTCTTGACTAGACTGTGCATTCTGGAAAAAATTTAATCTCAATTAGAGATTTGGTGATGAGATCAATTTTAAAGATCTTTCCATCAGCTACAACAAAATAAGAAACTTCCTTTTTCCAAAAATTCTTTTGGAAGTATATTGGATCCATCATGGATTTTTGTGCTCCTATGTCAAGATAAGTTATAACTTTGATGGATTTCTCATATATAAAGGGAAGAAGTTGAACTTTTATGCATGACTGAGGTGGTGAGATATTAATGGAATTAATCTCTTGGAAATAGAAAATAAGAATAGTTTTTGTTTCGGATTCTAAGTTTGAATGTCCAGATTCTATTTCATTAGAAATATGGAAAGGGCAAAAACTATTTCTTCATCTACAGAGCTTTGTTTTGCGTATATAAATTCTATTTCTTCATCATCTCCGAGATTGAGAGTACAAATGAGCTTTATGGCTCTTTCGGCTTTGTGGGGATAGTACTTGGAGAAGTGGCCTTTCTTCTTGCAAATAAAACATTTATGGTCACAAGATTTTTCTATTATTTTCTTCATTTTGAAGAATTTGAAATTCTTCTTCTTACGAACATGCTATTTTTCCCACCTTTCCTTTATGCAGTTTCCTAACCAAGGTTTCTTGCACTTGATTTCAAGATAGGGCTTCTGACAGGCTTTGTTGAATTTACTCTTTTGGTTCATGATGTCTAAGAAGAATTCATGTTGTCTGCACAATTTATTAACAACTCTGGAAAATTAGATTAAA